TAACGTAACGTTAACGTACGTACGTACGTACGTACGTACGTACGTACGTAGTACGTACGTACGTACGTAGTACGTAGTACGTAGTAGTATATATATAGTAGTAGTAGTAGTAGTAGAGAGAGAGAGAGAGAGAGAGAGAGAGAGAGAGAGAGAGAGAGAGAGAGAGTAGAGGCTTACGGAAGGTTCTCGTTGTCACTCGAAGCAAATGACCATTTCCCGATTTTTCTTGTCGGTTCTTTCTTAGGCGCGTATACTATGCTCCCTCGGAAGCATATGCTATACACTTACTCCCTCCAGCAAACGAGATTTTTCTATCTGAAATTTCGAGATCTTTGTCCAACATGTTATTATTTTCAAAGAAAAATTGGGGAAAGTGCAAAATTCCCTTTGACTCAACTCTCCTTACAACTTTCTCCCAAGTTTATTGCTAGTTTTACCCAAAAGTACTTTTATAGTTTATAACAACTATCTTCCAAATGCAAAAAGTGATAGTTCTTTGGATCAAAATGCCCTCCTTTTAGTTGATTCGGCACTTATAAATGCGGTCCGGCAGATTGTTGCTGCGGTCCAGTAGTTACGATGCCTCCACTTGTAAATGCAGTTTGGCAAATTTTTGTTGCGGTCCTGCAGTTTTATTGCCCTGACACTATGATGCCTCAGATCGACATAAGTTGCATCAGTCCAGCAAATTGTTGCTGCGGTCCAGCAGTCGATGCGACATGGATTTCAGTACTATGTGCTGGACCGTCTTTAGTGATGGTGTGTCTATCGAAATGTGACACCTTCAACAAGATATTTTCATCCTCCAAATTATGACTCTTTAATTTGTTGCTGTGGTCCAGCAGTCAATGCGATATGGATTTCGATCCGGCATAACTATATGCTGGACCGTCTTTAGTGATGGCGTGTCTATCGAAATGTGACGCCTTCAACAAGATATTTTCATCTTCCAAATTATGACTCTTTAAATTGGGAGACTTTGTTATAAAAGTTACTTTTGGGGTAAATGTTACCCTAAAAAAATTGATTATTTGTAATTTTCCCGAAAAAGATTTAGATTTTGAGCTTTTTGAACATTACCACTCCCCTGATTCTCATGAAATTTTTGGATGTCATTTTCTTTAGGTAGATTGAGAGTGGGAGTCAATATCTTTTTTTTTTTTGAGTTTGGTTGTGAGAGGTCACATCCCCAAATTTTGGGATTTAAAAGATGTGCTGCCCAATGCAAGGTTTGCTGAACGGAAAGCCGAACATTTGTATTTATTTGTAATTAGCAAATAGGAAGACCATGTTTCGAGAAATGCACTGAAGGGCTTCCCCACTTGGGCCAGGGACCCTTCACCTTTTAAAGGTATAGGAACCATTTGGCTCATGAAAACTTCCTCTACAAATCCGAAACTATTATAAGACGAATTTAAAAGGAAAAAGTTTATATAAGGTTGCAACCTTAAAACGTAGAATTAGAGATGCTCCTCAAAAATCAATTGGAAAGGATTGTTTTAATGTTGAAAAACCCTCTCACTGATCATCTCGACATCGAGATTAATGAATATGAAAAAAAAATAAAAAAAATTTGAAATAGTGTATCTTGCAACACATTATCTAGACCGTCCATTTTCAAGATTTTCATATGTTTATAGATCTACTTGATTTTAGCTATTTTTGAAATTTAAAATTTTATAATTAGACATGAAAATAAATTTTCAAATAATTCTAAGAATTTTTTACATCAAAATTATATGTTATGATAAAATTTGGAAGTGTGCCTTCATTGCATTGTTTAAGGTTGCAACCTTATAGAAACCACACCCAATACGAATCAATTTAACTGCATTTTCTCCTTGAATCCATCATTTTGCATCTAAGATAATAGCATAAATTATCGTATTTATGATATTCCTTTTTTTTTTTGGGGGTTAAAATTGATAATTTATGAATTTAAGAAATAGTAATAACAATCTAAGTTTAAGGTAAACAATAATTTGTATTTAATGTTCAATATTTATTTTTTTTATATTCATGATTGGGGCGATCCAAAATTATTGACTTAGAAAAATTCTAAGGTCTCAAATCCATGGATTTTTTAATGGATACCTCACCTTGCACCCCAAAAATCCATCCTATACAACTCGTTAAAAATGCCATGGATGTTTTTATTTAGAGATTGTATATAACGAGACTATTTACTTTTGATACAAAGAGGTCACAATTACTTACAACCATCTGATGTGAAATTTGATAGTTTGGGTGTGTTACAAAGTTTGAGATAATTACTTTTGAAGTTTACGCTTGGTCAATGGAATAAATATAGCTATTTAATTTCACATTCAATAGTTAAAAAATCAATTGCAACCACCTTGTATTCAAGGTAAATAATCTCATTATATACTTTTCCTTGGTACAAGTTTATATACCTAAAAATAGAGCAAATGCAAAGTAGGAATTTCCACTCCTAGGTCTTATATAGCTAGATCCTCATAGACCTCCGATTTATAAAATACTAAGGATGCCCCTATTGTTTAGGATGGGCCAAACCTACCAAAGTACACCTTGCTTCCCATGGCAACTAGACTATACTCGGGGCCAGCTTGATCCTTACCGCTCTCGGGCCAAGGACCAGAAAGTGAAAGGTTATAAAGTTTGGGGTACTTTCAAGCTTTAGGTTGTTTTGGAATTGGGCTGTATTGTATTTCTTGAGTTAGGCGTGGGAGGAAGAAATTCTATGGAGTTTTCAAGTTTTTTTAGTACTCGAGGGATATTTTGAAGGTTTTTGGAAGATGCAAGGGTAAATTAAATAGTATGAGAGACGTTTAAGGATAATTTAAAAAATTAACTATGTTTTGTCTCTTAAAATACAATTGTCTTTCGCTAATGTTGGCTCTTCATCGTAGTTCTCCCATCCTTGAAATGAGGTCATAATGGGTAAAAAACATGGGTGTATAACTAGAAATGAATGGATGGAAGATTAAAAATGAGGTGGATTGAGGGGAGTAATGAAAATGAACATTTTGGACCCTCAAACTTTGGAGTTTTTGATGATTTAGCCATGGGGAGGTTTCCCTCTTCATCCACCATCAAAACTCCTCAAACAACTCCTCAAACTAGAGTGCTTTTTTATCATTTAGCTCAAATTTCTTCCTTGAAATCCCCGAAAATTGCGCCACGATCACTTTGCAATAAATTTGAACGAAAACAACACTGAATTTGACAAGTCCTACCCCATTTTAATCTTGGCTTATTCCATGGCTCTTAATTACACCATTATTTACTTCTCCTCAACGATGAACCACCAAATTCCTGTAAAGGGTCTTGAGATCACCATTTAGCAAGATTTTCAGCTCAAAAGATTATTATTCAGCCGAGTTATGAACGTTTTATATCTTTTCATTTTTAGAAACTGTTGTGCCAAAATATTCAAACAACTTCTCCTTACAATTCTTCCATCTATTCGCTTTTAATCTTCAAATTGTTGTGTATTGATATGAGCGGTATTGAGTCGAAACATACCTACAAGGAGCTCAAACGTTGAGGCTCTAATACCAAGGATAAAAATCCAAGTTTAAAAAAAATTAAAGGAGAAAAAAAATAGTCCTAAAAATTCAAAAAACAAAACGCCAAAATTTACTTTGATTAACAATTGCACACGTCTATGAGACATCAAAGTTTCTCTTTCACCGATCAGAAAACCATCCTGCAAGTACGGAAAATACAACAGTTTTCAAGCTCTCTTTCAAACGCCATAAAACAAAGTTTCTCTCTCTTTATAATAACGACCCTAAGGGCTAAGAAAACCTCACCGTTCGCTCCATTCTCTCTCTCTCTCTCCAAAGCCTATCATAAAGAAAAAAATCCTAGAGACACCCAGGTGAGGCCCAATCTGTCTTTATCCCTTTTCAAATTTTCCTAGGATTTTTATCTCTCATAGGATTCAACTTCTCATAAAATAGGACACGTTTTTGCTTCAACCCAAACACACTAGTTTCCTAAAGCAATCCGGATTATAACTAATTCCACCAAAAAACCTATGAAAACCGATAAAATTAGGAAAAACTTCCCATGCTAATAGCAACATGATCTTACTGTACAACTAGCTGGATGCCTTATATAAGCCCCCCCCTTCTTGAAATGCCTTGAAAGGTGGGTATTATGGTCCTTTTTCCCTGTAATCGAGAGGTAAAATCATGAATAGGATATGGTATGAAAATGTTTTTACGCATATCATTGCAAATTTTATGGTCTACAAAGAAAAACGAGCGAACACGACCTATAGATAATTACCCAAAAAACAACACGACCCATAGATGACAGTATTTTAAAATCTCCAAAAGTAGGATACTATATAAGGTTTGTATCCACAATTATAGAAAGTTTAATCGCTTTTTGAGATATCTGTTGGGCTACAAAGTTATGTGAAATGTTTACTCTATTTGAGCCCAAGGTCGGCAGAGAAAACGACCCCAAAACAGCAACATTTTAATCTACCTTTAATGGATACATTAATAAGGATTATAGAAATCACAAATGCAATTCAAGCTCTTATTCTACCATTCAAAAGCTTTGAAAGGTGGTTTTTTACTGTGTTCCGTTCCATGTTTCGGTTATAATCATGATTGAAATATTGGAATTGAAGCGTAATTCCCAGGCATCTGATTCTGATTTGCCCAATCCCACTCAAGCAAATTCCGGGTCAAGCTACAATTAACAAATAAATAAGACTAAATTATCAAGAGAATCAGGGGCTTCCAAAACTCCTCAAATAAGAATCTCCCGTCTTCATATCCTCACCTGTCTCAGTTGATTCCAAGTCGGATTGCCGATTTTTTTGTCACCGGTCATAATCACATAAATGAAACAATACCATGTCAATCAAGCACAAAAGCATGTTACGTTGTTTTCAGATAAATCACTTGATCAAAAAGCACTAAATTAGCTTTTTTGAGCATTTCTTGGCCACTCACACCCAAACCAATATAACTACCGCTAAGCAAAAGCCGGACGGATTAAAAATAATGTTAACATGTTTGGGCTTTTTGAGAAACTTCTTGGGCTGGAACAGGGGACCTTCACGACCCAAACCTGCCACTACCACCAAACCGTTAAGTTTGTTTTCAGATGAAGTCTCCCTCTCAAACACGCACACAAAAAAGACATACACAACTGAAACAAAAAACAGTTACTTTTTAATGTTCCTGATGAATGATCGAACCTCAAATCTCCCAAGTTGTGCACTCTTCATGGTCTCTGAAATCTGCAGTGGAAACTGGAGAAATGTTATGAGAGAGCTCAAAAGCGAGAAGCAAGACACCAATCAATAACCTCACATAACATTAGATGTTGCTCACAACGCATTTTGAAGTGCTTACGCATGTGCTCTTCAGATCAAAAAAAAATACAATTGAATGCAGCAAAGTTCAATCACACAAACTACATAGAAGCAGAGGGCAAAGAACCATAAACATTAAGTTACAGAAAATTTTTACAGAGAAATGGCTACAAATTGGAACTAGCAAAGAATATAGAAATAGACTGACTCCTTCCACCTGACACCTTGTAATGCCCAGTTCAACCTCCAGAAAGAAAAAATTGACACAAACCCAGAAAATGATACATGCCCCAAATACTCAAAGACTACAACCTCATAATGCTCATCGCATATTGATCCAGAGACCAAAAATTATGGAAACCCCGAAAATCATACTCACCAAGCCATCAACAGGCGGAAATTAACAACAAGGTTACCACTCTGCCTTCTTAACCTTCCTTCTGAAGAAGCCCTGATATGGAACCCAGGTCTTAGACTCCAAAGTCATCTGTCATCTTCAAAGAACCATCCTTCATGAGGTTAACACTCAAGTTCTTGAACCTCTCTCTAGAATAGTGTCGAGAGGCCTTTCTCCAATCAGTCCCAGTCTTCATCATCGAAACAAACTCCTCATAACTTATACGATTGTCCTGAGCACAAAAAACGCAATTCAAAATTTGTAGTCATGAGAGACTATTTGTTTTGTTTTTTTTCAAAAGAAATGTGAGATTAATGCAATTAAATTAAGGTGTAGTAGAGGTGCTCACCTTATCAGTGTCAACCTCTCGCATGATATTGTTCAGGACTTCAGTGTCAGTTTGGCCTGATTCATCCATCAAGGCCTCTCGAAGCTCATCGATTTCAATGAAACCACTGCCATCTTTATCAAAGAACATGAATGCCCTACGGAAATGCTCGTCGTTCTCCATTCTTTGCAAATGAATCGTAACAGCAACAAATTCACCATAATCCAATGCGCCATTTCCATCAACATCAGCCTGAAAGCGAGTTTATCGAACACTACATCATTATCAAATGACATAAATCACACGCAATAAACAGAGCTCCTTCTACACACTATGTATATTTCAAAACAAGCGTACAAGTCTTTCATTGTCATAATTAATTGTAAAAATATAGTTTTTATCAGTAGCTAGTAGCTAGTTAAGAGTTTCATAAGAGCACAGTACAACTTTTTTTTTTAATATAGTTAAACAGACATATATTTGAGGTTCTTTAAAGTTAAATTAACATAGGACTACAATACCGCTTTTGCTTCATATTTTGAAAGACTTGAAGTGGAGGGACAAGGCCCCTCAACTATGACGACTTCTGGTCTTACTGAAGGTATGGTACTTTGACAAAGAAGAATGGACGAACAAGATTCATGTAGCAGACACTTTCTCAAAAAAAAAAAAAAAAAAATCATGTTGAAGACCCCAAATAATTCGGATAAGGCTTAGATGATCATGACGATATCTATATCTATATCTATATATATATATATATATATGGAAAACGTTAATAAAACTAAGATGCACCTCAAAAATCCGATAGAAGAGAGTGTTTCAAAGTTTGAAAACCTTCCCGTTCATCATCTCAACCTCGAGATGCATGAATACAAAGAAAAAAAGAATTTTAAGTCTTGAAAATAGTGCATCTGGTAACAAGTTATCTAGATCGTTTATTTTCAAGATTTTCAAGTATTCATAGATTTACTCTATCTGCACCATTTTTGGAATTTAATTTCATGATTAGGGTTGGACATGGATTTCCAAACCATAGTAAGGTTTTTGACACCAGAATTACATCTTCCGGCAAAATTCTGAGGCGTGCCTTAGTTGTATAGTATAAGGTGGCACCTTACACAAACTTACATATATATATATATATATATATATATATGGAAAAGGCTGGGGTTAGCCCACTAGCTCATATGAACATATGAGCCCAACGGCCTAGATTGAATCTGGGCCGATCTGACGATCACGGATGTCCGATAGTGTTTTATTTCCTATAAATCCAAATCACTTGAAATTTTAGACGTGTGTTCATAAAAAATAGGTGAATCTCCGAAAAATATTTTACATGAAATAAATTGACCAAAATATCCCCAGAAAATTTCGGGGGGTATTTTGGTCATTTTTTCACAAATAAATTTTTTATATTTTTATTAG